CGGCCTTATTCTCAAACTCTTGCAGAAGTTCGTCGATATCATTGTCGAGGTCTGAGGACTGAGCCATCATTAGAGCCATTTCGCAGATAAGGAACGCCCCGATAGTGGCCTCTTCGTGGTTGTCCTGTACGTCGATATTGATTATGTGAGCCGTCGTGTTGTCGACTGGGGTTCGCAGTGACAGCTCTGACACAATGATGTCATTATCAACATATGGTCACATTAACAGAGTCTGCAATACACACCTTCAACCACCTGATCGTAAACCCTCTCCTCCACAGTGAACACTACATCGAACTGTTCGTAACAGATCTGAAACCTCTCGGGACACGACTTGATCCGTCGGTTCCGGTCCAACATATGAAGGATTCCGTTCTGAGTATATCTGATGTCAAGACAATTGGTTTAAGAGTGAAATGGTTGAGACAACTCATAGTAATTACAGGTTTTTATCTTTGGAGAGCAGGTCTTTGTACATCTCCTCATAAGTAGTGCCGAAGTCATAGACATTGGGTTTGTCCTGAGCGGGTCCGGGCAGCTTCACCTGATTGCCTACCAGTCCACCACAACACACGTTAATAAGCAGTCAATTCATTGCTAATTCAATGCATACCTGAGCCGAAAGACCGCACTTTAAACCCCTTTTTACTGTAAATATGTGGCAATCAATCAATTAGTCGGTGATAGACGTGATAGACGTGTCAAACACATGACATAATGGACAGCATTGAGGCCATCAATGGTGACATACCTGAGCACCGCGTGTGCCTCCATAGACCGGTTCTGATTACTACTGCAAACCACAGCTATTCTCAGATCAAATGCCATCTGAAGATGTCTCAATTCACTCAACAGATCATCAAAACATCAATTTATGAACCAATGAGTCCATCAAATTCAAGATACAGTCAACACTCGAGTTTGAGTCAGTTTTCGGTGCATTCAGTGCCACACAGTGTCTCACATTCACACTCTCTGTCACTAAAGTCTAATGTATTACTGGAACAATAACTGGTAATACTGTAATAGTGCAGAATTGGTGCAAGGTACACCGGATATACAGTACAGCATATTCATGAATAGTCTTAAACAAGATTATATAACTTTATTTTTGCATTCATTTATATAAGGGTAGTATAACTAACTGAATTGAATTGAAATAATGCACTAATAATGTGAGATAAATGTGAATCATTAGAAAGCAGACACACATTGAAAGCAAGCCTTTACTCACAAATACTAATCACGAGTTACTGTAAGCTTACGATCGCTTCTCATAAATACATAAATACTAGGATTGAGTGAATGATTGTTGCAGTGATTGAGTGTCAGTGAGAGTGAGTTGACAACAATCAGTGACCAAAGAGTCGAGTAATACGTGAGTGAAGTGAACGCGCGCTCAACACACGGGTCATGAGTTTTGCACGATTTCTATGACTGAATCGTGTGACGAGTGATGCACTGATGGACTCTTCACACACGACCACAACTGTCACGACAGACAACACCCAACACATGGACCACAAGAGCCAACAATACGCCAGAAGTCGTTGGAACGGCTGGAATGGGAACCGATGCGTGGACCGCAAGCACTACACCCAAGCCATCGACTTCTACACCACTGCCATCCACTTGTATCCATACGAATACCGCTATTTCGTCAACAGATCCTATTGTTGGGATCAGTTGCACGACTTCGAGAGAGCCCTCTGTGACGGCCATCAGGCACTCGCTCTCCACCAACGCAACAGTAAATGTCATTTCCGTGTCGGAAGGGCTCTGAAGGGACTGAAGCGACTGCGAGAGGCAGAGCACCACTTTCTGCAAGTGATGCGATTGGAGGCCAACACCTGTCACGAGGCCATCGACGAGCTGACGGACGTCCGCACACTCGCCGCCATCGAGTGCGGTGTCGGACACACCGTCGCGTCACAAGTGGCCAATCGGTCCAAGAATATTGAGGACACCATCGACACCATCACCAAAGACCAGATAAACCTGTCCTACGATAAGACAAACGCGAAAAGAGTTTTGTCTGAAACTCAAAACAATTGTCTCCCGAAAGAGAGATCCAGTGAACACTCGGATGTGAAGCACAGAATAGATGTTCCGTTGACTCACACTAACTCTTATTCGAGTGGAAAGGGATGTCATCCTGAGAGGAATGTCCTCAAAAAGATTAGCGATTTTCTGTTGAATACAAATACGGATTCGAATGACAATAAGAGTGAAGACAATCTGGTCTTCATTTGTGAACCAATCAAACGATCCATTCGTGAGAACAAAAGGGATCCGAAGAATCGATTTGAAGACAATAAGTCTATTGATTCGTTTGGAAGCGAACCAGAGATTAGCAATGAATGCAATTTGAAGAGTGGTTTCAACCGGAGGAATGGTCGCAGAACTGAATCAACTGATCAAATGGACGCCGTTTGGGACGACTCCAAGAGGAATGGCTCTTCTTTTCGCTCATATAATAATAGTTACAATGAATTGAATCGAAAATCTGAGTAATTCTTATGAAAAGTTTAAATCAATAGCAAATGTGTGTCAATAATCATGTCTATCCATTGTGTGTCCATTAGACCAACAAATGTGTGGCGATTCAAAGGTCTTTGTGTGTCAAACATCATACCCAACGAACACACAAAGAGACAATTGCGAGACATTCTCAGCACTTATGGCACTATTGTTGCCATTCATGTGATCCCTGAAAGACAAACCGCTGTCATTCACTTCGATAACCCAGAGTCACCCCGGGTTGCCATGTCTAGGCTTCAGGTACTGCTCTGTTCCAGATTATTCACTACTAAACTACAGGTGCTCATTAGCTAATCATTTAATAAATTTAATAACTTTTAGAGAGAGAGAGAGAGAAAGAGAGAGAGAGAGAGAGAGAGAGATTGGAATTGTGTTTATATTTAGAACAATTATAGGCTATTTGATGGGCACCTGTATCCTTATTTACATGACCACTAGTACAACGAAAAGCCTTTTCTAATGAATTGTTTGTAATTTATTAATGACTTAAAGGGCGTGCATATGCCTAACATTTGTATCCAAAATGAGACGTTGAGTATAAAGTTTCGTCCATTAGTTGAGTC